TTATTTTTGCTTCATTCTTTTCTCCTGTCCTTCTGAGACTTTAATTATGTTTGCTTTTATCTGTTTGTCTGTGTCCTCATACTTCTTATACATTGCTTTATGTTTTCATTTCTTTATGTCTGTGCTTCAGTTTGGATATTTCCTATTGTCCCTTTTACATGTTCACTAATTTGGTCTTTTCGCAAGTTCATTAATTGTGTTTAGTTTGCTGTCAAATCCATCTAGTTAATATCAATATATTTTCCAGTCCTACAGTAATTATTATAGGTGCTAATTCTCTGTCAAAATTTTCTGACTTTTCATTCATTTTATCCATCATTTCTTTCTTCAGGACATATATAAATAACTGTAAAAATTCCTGACTACTAATATCTAGATAATATTTGGAATTAACTCTATTATTTATTCTCTTCATAATCATTTTGTTTCTTTGCATTTTTTATAACTTTTGACAGTGTGCCAATCATTATGTATTTAAGACTAAAAGAGACTTAAGATGACTGTATTTTTCCTTTCCACTTTTAGGGGTCTGAATTCCTCCAACCCATCAGGAACCGAAAATGAATTGCAATTTCTGTTTAAGTGAAAGTCACACTCATTTGGTTTGCTAAGCTACTTGTATGTCTCTCCTCCAAATTTAGACTAAAAATATTAGAGGTTTCTATCTCTAAAATCTTTGCTAGCTAACTTACACAGCTCCAAAATCTAACATTTATCTTGAAAGGGAAACCAGCCAAGTTTAAGGCAGGTCTCTTCTCCTATTTATTAGGTTGTGTCTCTCAAACACTACAAGATCATGGCATATTTCTTTTCACCCTTCTAGATCAGCCATATTCTTAGATGACACCTGATTCATTTAGCCCTTAAAGTTCTGCTCCTTAAGAGTGTGCAAGCTTAGGTCTTTAATCTCCTGCTCCACAAAGTGCAAAATCTGGTAAATGTCATGAGGAGGAGACCAGTTGTGTGAAAGTAATCTTTCCTCTCTGGCAGGACTTTGCCTTCCTAGTTCATCCCCAACATGCGTCACAACAAGACAGCCAATGTTCCATGGTGGAAACCAGCCATGCAGTTAGAGCTTCTCTAAATGTTAACATTTCAGATGTTTGTTAAGATCTCAACTAGTTCTTTTCTAGTTTCCAGTGAAGTCCTGTTTGGGCCAATGAGTATAAGTCTGTACACAGTACCAACAAATATGCCTGGGAAAGAAAGTTACCAATGACCTAAAGCTCATTTAGAAAAAAAGTCTTTGGAATTTTAGTTAATGCAGTTCTTGATGATTCTACAGGTCTCCAATGTCTTTTAAAACACAATTTTTATCCAAGAATTTATTATCCACTGTTTTTAGTTACTGTAGTACAACTGATTGCCTGTGGATACATACTACATACAACCTAGAAGAAACAGTACTCAATTTCAAAGAGCTTTTAAAAGAAAAGGCAACACAATTGCTTTTATGTAAAGCAATTCCACATAAAATATTTCAAGAAATGTTTTGAATAATAGCTGTTAAAATTAACATGTAATTCCGAGGGTAAGAAGATTCATTTGTATTTATAAATTCTAGAAATTTAGTCTTAAAATTTTATTATATAATCACATATTACTTTGAAAAATCATTTTTAAGATTTTAGAAACATTATATAATTATTTTTTAGAGCTGGAATGTGCTCTGAGCATATCAGTGAATAGACAGTATTTATTACTCTGCAATTGTGTCATTTCAGGGAAGTTGTACTTTTCCTCTTCTGTGTTTTGTTTGTTTATTTTGTTTTTACATTAGAGCTATAGATACATTTACTTGGCCAGATGAAAGTACATTTGATAATTAAATTTTCAAAATAAATTAAGAAATTTGTCATTCTGAATTTTTATTTTGCATTTTCCCCTCAAACTCTGAAAAGATACTTTACATGTATATGATTTTATGGTTTATAGATAATATTTCATTTTGTCAAAATACAACAAGGATATAAATGGTTCAATAATAATTTGTCTAGAGGTAATTTTTCTATACGCTGTATCTGTTTAAATATTTCATATATCTACATGACCATATCTATCTTGCTGCTATGCTCAGCATTTTGAAGTAAATTGACTTTTAACCCTGGAGTAAAAAACAGACCACATGATTTTTTAAAAAAAGTTTAATTTCTGCATTTATCTGATTCCAGGTCACTGAAATCCCACGAAACTGATTTTATTACAAAAATCAAACTTCCTTGTAGTATCTTCACATCTAGCTTTGATAATTTCCAATCCAACCTTGTTTCAATCACACTGTAGATACTTCTTCCATATCCTCCCTTCCACTAAGATTTATTTTTAAAGCAAGTCTTAAACATCACACCATTTCTTCTGTAAATATTTCAATATGTATATTTAAACAGGGATTCTTTCTAAACTTAACTAAGATCTGACCATTATATGTGAAAAATAATTATTTCCTTAATATTTTCAAATGTGTAGTCAGTGGTCACATTTTCCTAACTGTTGTGAACATATTTCCCTTACACACACACACACACAAACACACACACACACACGTTTTTTACAGTTTACATCACTATCATGTAATCAACAGCAAAGCAATGTTCTCTTTTGCCACTAGATGGTATAACTGCATAAATTTGGAGGCATGCCTTTCTGTCTTTGGCTTAGATATTGATAGGCTAATGATGAGGTAACATGATTCAATGATTATTTACATAATCATTTATATGATTATGTAAATTGTAGTATGAAGTCTAGTAAGTTTTGAGGGCGACTAACCATTGTTTTGGACTACCTCCAGAATGTAGGAAGGAAGTGACAATGCTTCCATGTGTCTGCACAAATCAACATTCTAGGACAAAAAGAAATAGGTAAGGATTCCTGCTCTTTAGCAGTTTTAAACATGTTAATGAGAGATAAATAATTACATTATAAGGTTGTAACTGCTATAGTACCATATGCCCAATCCTAAAGAAATAAAGAAATGGATCTGCAAGGATATCTGCAGAAGCATGTGTTGAGTAGTAATCAATTCATGGTAAGTTCTGACAAATCTTAACTGTTAGTATTCATGATGAATATGATACCACAAGGCTAACCTGATATTCCACTGTAAAATTTAGGGTTTGACTTGCACTGTTATTCTGAGAAACATTCCACTTCAGCATGGAGATGAATATAAGAGCAAGGTAAATGTCTTCCAAAAAGAAATTTTCATTTAGTCAAATAAAAAACTTAAAAAGTGATCTCACATTTTCATACCACAAAATGGACATCCAGATAGACTGGTGGGAGGAATTCCCTGTAAACTGTACCTCCAGAATAGATGAAAGAGCACTCCTGTTGGGAATCTTAAATTCTGTATTTTTAAATTTTTAAAGACATATGCCATGTACAATTTTAGATATATTATGCTGATTAGAGTTAGAATACACAGCTGTTCTTTTCAGCCTATTAGATTAATGATTCATGTTTTTAAGATCACTCATAGTCTGTGGGTAAAAAAAAATTGTGTTTTTATACTCTACCTTACTCCAAAAGAATTTGGAGATCTATTATTGCTGAGGATAGCTTTTACTGAAGAAACAGGCAATTAGATAGAAAAGATTTACAGGTAGACAGATTTATAGATAGGTAGGATAGTATATATAAAGAAAAGGTTTAATTGTTATGATACTAAATATTAAGTGTAAAGAGGAGCAAATATAGTTTAGTGATATATAGAAGCTTAAAGGATAAGGGCAACCTCAAAATGCATAGAAAAAGATCTAGAAGAAAATAGGAAATGAGTAAGGCATAAGAGTAGAGAGCAGACAGGAAGAATAGAGTCAGGAAGCCAGATGTTAAAATAGCTTTAGGACAGAAACAACACAAAAGAAGATTATTTTTTAAAGAGAAGGAGGTAGCCAACAGTTTTGTTGATGATCTCCAATTAGGTGAAAAGAGAATCTGCCTCAGTTTCAAAGCTAAAACAGCTAATTTTAATCCCAAGTATTTTGAAATTAGAATATATTTTCATCACTGCAGACTGGAATATTTTATTCTTTGAGGTTATTACAGCTTTCAATGCTATTTAGCAAGCCACTTTCAGGAATTGAAAGTGGTATGGAAATCATCTTGGCTAGCACAATGTCTATGTTTTCCAAATAAGGCCAGAAGAGTACCTAAAGGTGATAAAACTCAGCTTTTGGCAAAACCAGTCATAGGACCAGGTACTGACTTTTAGTTTAGGACAGGAATTTCACAAGGCCTCCCTGGTTTTCTCGACCATCACATCACTTTAAGTGGAAACAAAATCTAAGAGTTGGAGAGTAAAGCTATATTTAATAACTGAGATATATAGAACATTGAACACCACCAGTTTGAGCTGCATGGTTCCACTTACACATGGATTTTTTCTCCCAATAAATATAGTTGGTCTTACATATTTGCAGGTTTTGCATTCACAGATGCAATCACCCACAAATCTGTGGAATCCATAGATATGGAGATTCAACTATAAGAAACTTGAACACCTTTGAGCTTTGATATTGGGGAAAGAGAGGTAATAAAACCAATCCTGTTACAGATACCAGAAGAGAATTGTAGGCAAGTTTATGCAGAGACAAAAGTTATACAGATTTTCAACTACTGGGGTAGTTTCTCTTGACCTGTGTTCTTCAAAGGTCAGCTGTATCTTAAAGTTGTGTTGTTTGTTCCTAAGAATTATACAGAAACCCAGCCTCAGTATAGTGATGCTGAAGTAAGTCTCTTGTTTTTAACCTTAATAATTAAGAACTAACAAAATAGTCACTGGAGTTTACATAATTATTTTCTTTATATGATTCACTGGTTGAAAATAAAACACTTTATTTAAAAAATATAATTGCTGACTTTTGGAAGAAAATGTCTATATTACTGCTTAACTTAAAATGCACTTTTAGGTGAGTAAAGTATCTCACCTCATGTTTACAAGAAGGAATACTGAATCAAAATGGATAAACTAAAATTAAAAGTCACAATCTTGATACCTTCATATTAGATGCCTCAGTTTCCAGTTTTGTAAGATGATTGGAATTATCTTCTAGCTCTTGTCGAAGATTTGAGTTCTCCATCTTCAGTGCCTCAACTTGCTTTAACAACTGATCATATGAAGCTGCAGCCATCCTTGGCTACCCTGGGACCTATAAGGTTAAAAAGGATTTTGAAATTCACTACTAAAAAATATAGTGGCTGCCTGTTTACAAAGAAATGGATAAAGAAACAAAACTCTTGAGATATTTAATAAGAAGAATTGCATTAATATGCTAGTTTTGGTCTCAAACAGTACTGTTCAAGGAGCAGCATCTTTCTAAGAGGATTGGATCCCAGTTGAAGACAAATAGGATTAAAATTGAAGAGAATGTCAGTAGTATATGTTTGTCTGTTTGCCTTTTCACAGATGAGATTTCTGTTGGGTTAGAAGATTTTCAAGGTTTTAAGTATAGGAAATGAAGTTTATTTATACTGGTAATGTTTATTTGTAGACACAGAATTTGAGAGCCAGAATAGATTAGTGAAGAGTAAGTACTACATTCCATCACTTTTCATTTGAGTAAAGGCTAGTATTAAACATCAGCATGGGATAGGTGTTGCCAGGTTCTAAGAAGGGTTCATTAGAAGGCAATCATTTCAGCAAAATGGACACAAAGGAAAGCATTCCATTGAAACTTCAAATCTTTTTGATAGGAAGATGATAAATAAAACTTACTAATAGAAAGTTTTGATTATATGTATTCAAAAAGAAGAATATAATAGGCCAACCTATGGCATATATAGTTTTGGGATACACAGTGCTCAGAATAAGGCCAAAAGAGCTTTAAAGAAAATGGATGATTTTAGGAATAGAGACTGTCAAAAAGAAGTGAAGCAGAATCTGATAGGAAATACATGACAGTGAAAGAAGAGGGGATAAAAGGAAGAAAGAAGATAGCCAGGTAATATGAGGTCCATGGCATGAAGAATTAAAGATTGCTAGATATGATACTAAGATTAAGCAAATTCAGAAGACCCAGGTTCTCTTTTTAGTTTAATCCCGAACTCACTTTTGGAATAAATAAACTTTTGCCTATCTTAATTCCTTAAAAACTAAAAAACACTACACCAAGTTTGTATTTAAGCAATAAAGATCATGATTATAATAAAATTCACTGCACAAACTAAGGCATACAGGTTTTAACATTAGCTAGTCATGTCAATATTGGAATTCAGCAACTAGAAGGCCCCTAAAAGGGGAAATCAAGAGATTCAATTTGCCAACGGCTAGAGTTAGGAATAAACTGGGTACAACCCACTATCACGAGGTGGAAAGGGAGTCCTGAGAGGTCACTTACAAGAGTCCTCATGTTAGGAGGAAAAGGATGTCCTAAGCTAATTCCATACGGGCTTTGTGGACTCCTCCCCCACTCCAGACCAAAGCCATCAGGACATTAGGAAAGACAAATCACCACCAAAGGGAAGGTTGCCGGAACATGAGGGTGAGTTAAGCTGCCAGGTTTGGTATAAAAAACAGACATGCGGGTCTTGGGGGGCTTTTTGGCTTCACGGCTCTTGGCTCGCGGCCAGCTCTCTGAGTGCCATTGGGTTTCCAGGACGGAGGAATGGGTAGGATGCATTTAAGACCTTATTTCCCTATTTTCTCCCTGAGTTGCACATTTCCTCATTTCCCCTTCCCCTGTAAATAAACCTTTTATTAACCTTTTGTGCGTGCCTGCAGTGGAGTATTAATAAGTCCCTTTCAAGGGCGTGGATGAGGACCCACAGCCAGGCAACCCGTTTTATATCGGGGCTGCCCTGTAACACTCATGCTTCGAAAAAATGAGCAATATAGGCTTGTAATTACAGATATGGTTCCTAATTTCAGGCTTCATCATTGTTTTTTAACTTTTGCCCTTTGGTTTTCCTTCATTTCACCATTTAAAAATAGACACCGGGCTTCCCTGGTGGGGGGGGGGTAGGAGGGAAGGTGAGCACCGCACTATGAAGCAATCCGCAGCCTCCGCAGCACAGGTTTGATCCCCCTGGCCGGGGAGCGGCCCACATGGCGCAGCAGACCTCTCCTGGCTCGCCCGCTGCTCCCCTCAGCAGTGTGTTTCAGTCAGTCTGCCTGTTGCCTGATCTATTCCCCACTGTCTCTAGTGAATCCTCTCACCCCCGTATCTCTGGCCTGTACCCCAGCTCTTATATGCATAAATAAATCAATCTTTAAAAAAAATAAAAATAGACACCACCTACTGTAATATAATTTACGAGGATATTTTTAATATTAAGTAACAAAAGGCAGGCTGAGAATACAGTGTTATGTAAATATGCTATATTATGAAAATACAATGTAATTTATATTCCTCAGTGAGACTTAAGGTGTATCTACTGTTCCAAGTCCCTGTGACCTGACCAATGTACAGGATATGAAAAAGTTTGCCCTCTTAAAAAAAAAGACACACTCTACATCTCAAAATGAAGGTGTGATCATTTTTGCTGTTGTTTTATCATGTCACTGATAGCTGGTTGGAAATATGTAGTACTTCAGAAATGTGGCAGAGGTGGTGATCTGAAAGAATAATGAAGTTCTAAAATTCTTTATTTCAAATAAAAATTTAAAGGTAATTCTGCACTAATAATACAACAAAGTAAAAGAAAAGGTAACACAGAAAAAGAGATAGGTACACATCGGTAGGTTTAAACACAGAGGCAATAAACTTACACAATCATAAAAGGAGCCAAGTGGGCAAGATTAGCAGACTACTCAAAGCGATCTTATCAGGGCCTCCACGGTGGCGCAGGGGTTTGAGCACAGAGCTGTGAAGCTGTCCGCAGCACCATCTCCGCAGGCCTGTGTTAGATTCCGGCCAGCCAGGGAGACGCCCACAAGGCGCAGCAGACCTCTCCAGTCTTGCCCGCTGCTCCCCCTCAGCAGTGCTTTCGGTCTGTCTGGTCTGCCTGTTCCGCTTCCCGCTGTTTCTGGTGAATCCCCTCACCCTCCCGCATCTCTGGCCTCTACCCCAGTTCTTGTATAAATAAAAATAAATCTTTTTTAAAAAAGTGATCTTATCAGAGAGGGAAAATATTCAACTCCTCAGACAGAAACATAAAACATTTAATCATTTTTTTCCTACTCCAGAATTACAATGTTTAAAATCATTTCTGCTCTAGAGAGCAGGGTCTTTCATAATAATTTTATGGAAAAAAATCAAATGGTTTGTGGAATAATACTCTACTTTACATCCTTTCAGGATGTTGCAACTCTATTTCACAATTGCTTTATGCAAAATTCAAGAATAATGAACTTAAAATGGAAAACTTTTTATAGAATCACAAGAAGTTTATACCAAATATGTCTTAACTGCACGTTATTCAACATTTAAAAAAATAAATAAACTCATCTCATTAAACGGGGAAAACCTCTGAATCTTTTTCTTTACTGCAATTTGGTTTTGGTAGTAAAGATGTCCACTAAAGAGATTCATCTTCACACCTTAAGAGTTGGGTGGGACCTGTAACTATGCAGGTGCTTCTTTTCAACAACTCTTTCCCTCTGCAGGGCAGCACCTTCCCTGCCTGCCAGTGACCTGTACTTGTGACCTCCCTCAGTCGAGGGAGTCACTGACATCCCTCAGCAGAGGCCACTCTCCTCAAGGCCCCCTGACTGTAACCAGGCAGGCCTCTCTCAGCAAACCTGTCCCTTTGGGGCAGCTCTTCCTGCCTGCTTGTGTCTATGCAAGTGTCCTTTAGTCTTCTGTCCCTTTCCCTAATAAACCTGCCCTTTAAATATTGGGAAAAAAAAGAGTTGGGTGGGAGAGAATAAAGCAACAGGACTGTTAGACTTTCATCCAAATGTTCACAGGAAAACAAATTTATAAGTATCATATGAAATGAATACAAAGAGATAGTAAAGCTTAAGGCAGGTAAGAGATAATTAAAATGTGGAGGAGTCATTATTAATAATTTAAGATGCTTTGGATCACATTTGTTTTTAAATTTGTAGAGCTGCTTTTGTTTTGCTTTAGTGAATAAAATAAACATGTAAGTTGCAGCACCATTAGATTGGCAATAAGAGGAAATCTCCTCCACATTTTAATTATCTCTTACCTGCCTTAAGCTTTGCTATCTCTTTGTATTCATTTCATATGATACTTATAAATTTGTTTTCCTGTGAACATTTGGATGAAAGTCTAACAGTCCTGTTGCTTTATTCTCTCCCACCCAACTCATTATTAATAATTTAAGATGCTTTGGATCACATTTGTTTTTAAATTTGTAGAGCTGCTTTTGTTTTGCTTTAGTGAATAAAATAAACATGTAAGTTGCAGCACCATTAGATTGGCAATAAGAGGAAATCTCGGAAACCAAAAGAACTCTATGCAAAAAACTTGAGAACATAAATAGAATGGATAATTTATCCAAGAAAATTTATAATGACTCCTCAAAAAAATGGAAAATACAAGTTTATAATAAATACCACTATTCAATATCAATAAATCTACACAGAAAAAATACAATCATACAATACATACAATCATGGTGATGAAAAGATTTTTATAAATTCAAACCCATGAAAATGAATATGAAGACACTTTTAAAATACAAATTACATTAGCCAAAGCGAGCACAGTATTAATGAAGAAATACTAGATAGAGCCATGAAGCTAAGTAGGGAAAACCCACTTTTACCACTCTATTACTTATAACAATAATTACACAATTAAACTTAAAATGAAGGTAGAAAGGAATATACTAATGGCAAATGACAAAATTAAATACCTGGAACAACCAAAGTAATCAATATTGTTATAACTTAACATAGTATAAAACAGAGATCTTTTGCTTATATGAGCTGTTTACCTAAAAATACAGAAAGCTAATTAAAAAAGGTAAAATATGTTCACTGGGGTCAAAGAATTACAATTTGGGGAGCATATATTTGGGTAGAAATGCCAAGAAAGGACAAACATCAGTACATTTTTTATAGAGAGAAAAAAACAGGATGAGGTGATGGATGAGAACATAGCCTGGTAAAGGAGTCACAAAGTAAAATGGTCAGGTGGTGGGATCATAAGGTAGGTAAAAGCTTACTTTTATCAGTCCTTTCAAAGACAACATTCTCATTCTTGTTGGCTTCTTGGCCTAGTCCAAAGTTCCGACCCAG